GAGAGAGAGAGAGAGAGAGAGAGAGGAACACCTAAACCGCTGTAGTCTAACTCATTGTTATAGCCATCAGAAAACAAATACAGAACATAATTAAAGGTTTTATTTCCTCATAGAAATTCACATTATATAACATTGTAAAGTTGAAATGTTAACTAGAGAGCACGTTAATGTTAATTTATTGTATTTATTTAATATGTATATACGACCCAAATATGTTCATTTAATTCATTTCTTATTTTAAAAGTTAGTTCATTTGAATTGGATCTTTACTTGTACTAATCTTTAATCTGTGCTGTCCTGTTTTCCATGCTCACCCTGTTGCTGCTTAAACTACTGCATTTTCTCCACAGGGATTAGTAAAGGTCATCTTAACCTGAACCATCTCATCTTAACCTGAACCATCTCATCTTAACCTGAACCATCTCATCTTAACCTGAACCATCTCATCTTAACCTGAACCATCTCATCTTAACCTGAACCATCTCATCTTAACCTGAACCATCTCATCTTAACCTGAACCATCTCATCTTAACCTGAACCATCTCATCTTAACCTGAACCATCTCATCTTAACCTGAACCATCTCATCTTAATCTGAACCATCTCATCTTAACCTGAACCATCTCATCTTAACCTGAACCATCTCATCTTAACCTGAACCATCTCATCTTAACCTGAACCATCTCATCTTAATCTGAACCATCTCATCTTAACCTGAACCATCTCATCTTAACCTGAACCATCTCATCTTAACCTGAACCATCTCATCTTAATCTGAACCATCTCATCTTAATCTGAACCATCTCATCTTAACCTGAACCATCTCATCTTAACCTGAACCATCTCATCTTAACCTGAACCATCTCATCTTAACCTGAACCATCTCATTTTAACCTGAACCATCTCATCTTAACCTGAACCATCTCATCTTAACCTGAACCATCTCATCTTAACCTGAACCATCTCATCTTAACCTGAACCATCTCATCTTAATCTGAACCATCTCATCTTAACCTGAACCATCTCATCTTAACCTGAACCATCTCATCTTAACCTGAACCATCTCATCTTAACCTGAACCATCTCATCTTAACCTGAACCATCTCATTTTAACCTGAACCATCTCATCTTAACCTGAACCATCTCATCTTAATCTGAACCGGAGAGCTAAAATAAGACTTTATCTATCCTGAAGGAAATAGTTCAGCCAGAGTTACAAAAACACAATAAACACAAATACAACTGTACACTAACAGAGCAGTACAATTACATATCTACAGAAACAACCATGCAGTGTGGTTTAACTGTAAGGTATGTGTGTGTGTGTGTGTGTGTGTGTGTGTGTGTGTGTGTGTGTCTGCGTGTGTGTGTCTCTGTGTGTGTCTGTGTGTGTCTCTGTGTGTGTGTGTGTCTATGTGTGTGTGTGTGTGTGTGTCTGTGTGTGTGTCTCTGTGTGTGTCTGTGTGTGTCTCTGTGTGTGTGTGTGTGTCTATGTGTGTGTGTGTGTCTGTGTGTGTGTCTCTGTGTGTGTCTGTGTGTGTCTCTGTGTGTGTGTGTGTGTGTCTATGTGTGTGTGTGTGTCTCTGTGTGTGTGTGTCTCTGTCTGTGTATGTGTGTGTGTCTCTGTCTGTGTGTGTGTGTCTCTATGTGTGTGTGTGTCTGTGTCTCTATGTGTGTGTATGTGTGTGTGTGTCTGTGTCTATGTCTGTGTGTCTCTCTATGTGTGTGTGTGTGTGTGTGTGTGTGTGTCTCTATGTGTGCGTGTATGTGTGTGTGTCTATGTGTGTGTCTGTGTGTGTGTGTGTGTGTGTCTCTCTCTCTATGTATGTGTGTGTGTGTCTCTATGTATGTGTGTGTGTATGTGTGTGTCTCTCTGTGTGTGTGTGTGTGTCTCTGTGTGTGTGTGTGTGTGTGTGTGTATGTGTGTGTGTGTGTGTGTGTGTGTGTGTGTATGTGTGTGTATGTGTGTGTGTGTCTCTATGTATGTGTGTGTGTGTGTGTGTGTGTGTGTGTGTGTGTGTCTCTGTATGTGTGTGTATGTGTGTGTGTGTATGTGTGTGTGTGTCTCTGTATGTGTGTGTGTGTGTGTGTGACTCACGATGCCGTTGGACATGAGGTGGTGCCAGTGCAGCTTCCTGCCGCTGTGGTTCTTCTTGTAGAAGTCCTCCACCTCCGGGATCAGATCCTCCAGCTCAGTGGGAAGAGACACGAACACTTTCTCGCTGCTTCGAGACCAGGCGCCAGCGTTCAGGATCTTAATGTTCACAGAGTCCGCTGAGAGGGAAGACAGAGCTCACAGTAGAGACACTACATACGATCCTCTTTAAAAACAGCCATTAAGAAGCTAAGCAATGTAGAAACAGCTACTGTAGCTTCGTTCTGTTAAAACATCAATGTTGCTTTTAAGAGGTGTTGATTATTATTTTGCAGGACGATCGTTTGCCTGTCGCCAAGAAATAATGTATTGTGTGCAAGTTAAACACACCAGAGACATGTTAATAAGAACAGCTTCCTCCTGTCTCTAGCTTCATATTTAGTAGACAGACTTGAGAGTGGAACAATAAATAACATTTCCTAAGATGTTGTTCACTACTTTCACAAGTTCTGTCAATAAATCTAATCATTTTTCAATTATTCTATTAAGCCACTACTTTCTGGCTCCAGCTGCTCAAATGTGAAAAAAGACTTTATTTGAGCCATATATATTATAACTCTATGATAAGTAGTATTCCAATTACTTGTATAGACTCTTCTTGCACTATTTTAACTATTTTATCTGGTTTATTGTGTTGCTCTGTTGGAGGAGCCTGTGACAGTATAGATCCAGGGTGTCTGCAGGAGTCCTGAAGTCACATGGAAGACCTTTTAAGACCCTTTCCATACATTTTAAGACCTGATCGCCACTTTGAGTTCTAACTGGTTATCTTGGTGACACATTTCACCTCACATTGACTATATACAGTATTGATTGTCCTTCCTCCTGATCTTCCAACCATTTGGACGCAGACTTGCATTTCCTTATAACGATGTTGTTTAACAACCGGCGTAAACGGACCTTCGCACGCTATCAAGCAGTGAGCGCGCGATGTCCTGTTCAGATGACGTCAAACCCAACGGGATGCCATCAATAAACTACACAGAATCACACTACACACCTACGCCATGATTACATTCAGGCAGACTGTAGAACACAACCTCTCTGGATACTTTATATACTTATTGAACACAAGCTACAAAATGTAACACCTTGGAAAATGCCCTTTAATACTTTTTAATAGCCTTAATTTTCGCTGAATTGATTTATCAACTTGTAATACTTGTTAAGACCCCGCGGACCCCCTGAGATCATTAAATAAAAGATTCAAGCAGTTCAACAAAAGACGGGCGTATCGGGGTAACACTTTCCATTTCTCCCAAATGTCCTCAAATGTAAGTTCCTCAAAGAGAAGGTTATTCTTTCCATTACAAACATTTCATAAATGATATCGTACCAATCCTCGGTTTGGTTTGAGCCATTTCTTTGTGATTGCTTTCCTCGCAGCTACGCTCAACATCCCAAATAAGTATTTTGTTTTCATATATGTGACCCGCTCTATCGAAATCAGTCGGAAGTCGCAATGGCTCATTTCAAAATAAACGTGGATTTGCGTAAACAAACAAAGTCTTGGCTTTCAGAATATGAAACCTTTATTTCCAAACTCACACGATAAATACAGCTTTGAAGCTTCGGCATAATTACAAGCGGAGAACGGAGTAACTTAACGTCACAGCAGGCGTAACAACAGCCGGTGTTTCTCCTGAGGGTTTTCCCCGGGAAACAAAAACAATACACACACAAACGCAAAATTACACAAACACACACATGTATACACACACACACACACACACACACACACACACACACACACACACACACACAACACACACACACACACACACACACACACACACACACACACACACACACACACACACACACACACACACACACACACACACACACACACACCACACACACACACACACACACACACACACACACACACACACACACACACACACACACACACACACACACACACACACACACACACACACACACACACACACACACACACACACACACACACACACACACAAGTTTCCCCCAGACCAGTAATCCAAACGAAAATATCTTCCCTCCGTAGTATTTTGATAATTTGCTAATAACCAATCAGATCAATGGATTCCAGAGAAGAGGAAACTTTGAAGGCCTTTTTCTCAAAATGATGTCTCGGTGACAGTCTTTATATAATGTGACATATTTCGCTTAATATTTGGAGAACAACAACATCCTGATATCGTTAGAAAGCTAGGAATCTCCTCTTTGCAGCAGTGTATACAACTCAATATGTGTCTTCGGGTCAATGCGACTGATTTCGATAGAGCAGGTCACATATGTGGATGTTGAGTGCAGAAAACCGAAGAAGAGTTGACTTTCATTGACATATCTACACTGTAGCTGTGAACACATGACAATAAAAACCTTGAAACCTTGATAAGTGTGTGAGCCGTTACCTGGGAGAGTCAGCCTGTTGTGTTTGTGCATTTCTTTGAAAGACTGGTTGAGGTCCTCGGACACTTTGATGTCCTGAAACATCCGCGCCAGCTTGTTGACGTAATCAGCCGGCATTCCCACTTCCTGTTTGGACACACCACAGGGTTTAAGAGGAGATTAAACTAACTAACACTTCTCTTCCTTCCTCCTTCCTTCCTCTCACCCTGAGCCACTCCACCATGTTCTCCTCGATCTCGCTGTCGGCTGAGATGTCGAGGATGAGGCGTCTCGTCAGGTGAGCTTTGTGGTAACGCATGAACACGTCTTTGTTCTGGACGTACTTCAACACCAACAGCTGCAGAAACACAGAGCAGAGAGTCAGAGTAAGATAAGATGGAACTTTGTTTATCCCCGTGGGGAAATGCAGGCGTCAATAACAACAACATGGTCAGAGTGAAAAACAGGATTCACACAGGATGAAAAGATAAGATGGAATACGAATTATGCATAATTGTGCATTTGTATGAGCGTGTTCGATACGTGTGCAGAGTGCAGGTTAGACTCAGGTGTTATGTTTGAACAGTCCGGGTTACAATTTACTGTCAACTTCTACACAGTCCTGTACATGCTGGTTGTCGTGATTAAAACACCGCCAAACATTAAGTTATCCGCCTGCGATGCTCGTTCCAGTTCTCTTAATTGCTCCATGATAAGAACTAGGGATGCATATCGTTGACTTTTTTACGATACCGATACCGATACCACTGAACGATACCGATACTCAACCGATACATATCGTGATACTTTGAAAATGTATCATCCCACAATTACTCCCATGAAGCGCTTTACGATATAGTTAACATGTCAAATGAATATCAAATTCAATTGTGGGACTTCTTGGACCTTTTAGTTCTGAACAAACAATGAAAGAAAATACATAGAAAATATGAAGAAAACCGATTATGGAATATCTTTTATAACACATCAGGTGTGCCGCGTGAATAGCACATCTTGTCAATGCAAACAGACCGTTATAGCACCGTTATAATTAATGTTAAACCTGAGATTCGACTAGAGAACAAATACATAATAAAATAAAGGTCATGAGATCTCGGCATTGCACAAACAAACAAATCTCATCTTTAAAATCAACATGTACCTTCACTGGTGAGAGAAAACAAATCCCATCACAGTTCATTTGTGGGACTTTTAGCTTTCTAGTATTGAACAAACAAAAATACATAAAATATGAAGAAAAACGATTATGCAATCTAATTTATAACACCCGCCATCACGGGCCACGGACTCACTTAATTAATTAAAAAGTATCGAAAACCGGATCTGATTTCGGTACGGTATACCGTAGCCACCGGTATCCGGTATTTCGGTAATACCGGATACCGGTACGCATCCCTAATAAGAACACAGTGTTCCCAGTAGAGACGTACCACTTCCTTGAGCTTTGCCTCTATCTCCTCAGACGTGAGTTTTTTGCTCAGCGGGGTTTTCCTCAGCAACATGTCGCAGTAGTTGGCCAGCAGCTCCGGACATTTTGACTCTGGTTGGGTTTTCAGACCGACCCTGAGAACAGAGAGGAAAGCAGTGCAGCGAGACGTATAATAATTCTGACTTACTTTGTAAATTCTCACTATTCTCTGAATTCTCACTTTTTTCTGAGATATCTGTGTTTATTCGCAATTCTCACTTTTTTGTGATTACTGACTTTTTTCTCAAAATTCTCACTTTTTTCGTAATTCAGACTTTTTTTCGTGAATTCTGACGGTTTTTTCATATTCTTACTGTTCTCTGAATTCTCATTTTCTCACTTTTCTCTGAATTCTAACTTTTTTCTGAGAAATCTGTTTATTCGCAATTCTCACTTTTTTGTGATTACTGACTTTTTTCATAATTCTGACTTTTTTCCAGTAAATTCTGACTTACATTTTAAATTCTCACTATTCTCTGAATTCTCACTTTTTTCTGAGAAATCTGTATTTTTTCGCAATTCTGATTTTTTTGTGAATTGTTTTGTAAATTCTCTTTTCTCTGAATTCTCACTTTGACTTTTTTCTCAGAAAATCGAATTTTCCGGAATCAGACTTTTTTTTTGAAATTCTGACTTAGTTAAATCTCAGAACCCAAATTAGTTTTAAAGTTCTAGTCACATCCCAAATGTATTTCCTCGCGTGGCCCTTAACCTCTTCCAAACTCACCCTTTCTGCTTCAAAGGAAGTTCTAATTTAAAAATAGTGGCGTCGTTCACAACAGCTTTATACGCCTGGAAGAAGATTGAAAAACAGGATCAGTTTTAGGATCTTCTGACATGTTTTATTAATATCGTCCATGTCAGTAAACCTCACTTTGTCTCGAGAGGTGAGAAAGCGCGGGTCGTCCTGAAACGCGTCTTTCACCAAACGGCTGAAACGGTTAAACAACGTGAGAAGCTGCTCCACGTATTTCTCCGAGTCCTGAAACAAAGAAGGAGAAACCAGTCGATGAGAACAGACAGAAATAAAAATGTTTTTATCTTGGATCTTTGACAGGAGTCTGAAAACACCATTTGCTGCATTAGTTACAAGACAGATCTTTATTTCATGGCCATGTTGTTACTGTTTGGATCTCAAAATGACCAATTTCTCTTTTCCTATTTAGTGTGTGAATACTGTTTTATCATATTTATGAAACATGTCTATAATGAGGGTTCTTTGGCTATGTCCACACTAAGCCGTAGTGTGGACATAGCCAAAGAACCCTCATTATAGACATATAGACATAGACATATAGACCACCAACGAACGAATATTCTGATATTCGGGTACAGCCCGTACCCGAATATCAGAATATTCGTTCGTTGGAGTAATATTCGGGTTTCAATTTCGTTATTGTTTTTTTTTCGTTGAATTTATTGATATCAACGTAAGAGCTTGTGCCTCTTCGGGTGCTAACACTTAACCATAAACGTTATTGTTTACTTTCTCCGTCTTTGTATGTAGATATGACTTTTTCTCCATGAATCTCTGTCACGTTGTTTCCATAGAAACAACAACTTCCTGTCAACTGCACTAACTCTCCTTCAAAATAAAAGCATGTCCATCCAAAATAGAAAGCCAAGCCAAATTACACTTAAGACACATACAACTGCAACGAAAGTAACAAACACAATACAATATCCTTTTCAATTTCAAAGAACACAAATTGGGTTACATTAAAAAATAACTATACAACAACAATACTGTAGAATAACAAAAAGAATGCCGTGAATAAACCGAAATACACGTGTCGAAGCGGTTCGCTGCTGATTACTACGCACCCCCCCCCCCACGCGGAACGAATATTCGAATATTCGCTGCTGATTACTACCGACTATCCGGAGCCCGAAAAATGGTATCCGGGACAGCCCTAGTCCACACTGGCTCTAAATACAAAATAAAAGTTGACTGTATTATTCATCAGTACGCAATTTACTCAATAGATGTCCACGTCTCCTTCATTATAGGACAGTGTCAGAGAAAAATGCAGTATTTGAGTGTAACGTTTTAAATCTGCTGCATTGAGTTTAAAGTACAGGAGCTCCAGAATGTGCATTTCAAATGAGAAATGAACAGGAGGCACAGATTATTTATGAATTAACATGATCAATTCATTTATTCCAGAATGCTCTTAATTGCAGCAACTAGTGGCCTGATGCAGTCAAATGTTTTGATATCATCGAGACTGAACAGTAGTTAGTGTTTTCAGTGAGAGTGTATATATGTGTGTGTGTGTGTGTGTATGGATTCATGAGTAGTACACCCAACAGGTTTAGATAATCTTAAAGTTTACATATTTTTCATTTACCATGATCATGTTCCCAGATCTCTGCTATTATGTTGTGTGTGTGTGTGTGTGTGTGTGTGAGTGAGTGTGAGTGACTCACAGAAGTGATTGTCTCTGCTGTTGCCACCATGTCAGCGAGTCCAGCGCTCATGATGTGATCCTCCAGGTCCTTCAGCATCGGCTCGATGCCGCTCGGCACTTTGTCCATCAGAGAGAACATCAGGTGCAGCTCTGGAGCCGAGGAAACACACAACGTTACCATCACCAAGTACACACGTACACACGTACACACGTACACACACACACACACACACACACACACACACACACACACACACACACACACACACACACACACACACACACACACACACACCACACACACACACACACACACACACACACACACACACACACACACACACACACACACACACACACACACACACACACACACACACACACACACACACACACACACACACACACACACACACACACACACACACACACACACACACACACACACACACACACACACACACACACACACACACACACACACAGTTAAGGTGTTGTGCAGGTGTGTGACAGGGAGGTTTGGTCAGGTTGTTTCCTGGTGCAAACCTGAGCTTGCTGTGCCTTTGGTGGGGTTCGTCCGGCCGTACTCACTCTCTGTCTCGTTTCGTCGGATCATCCCGGGACACTCGGTCAAAATGGTCTCTTTAAACAAGGTGACCAGAGCGTTCACACAACACTCCATTAACTGGGGAGGCAAAGGGAGAAAGAGAAACTTAAAAAGGTCCCCTACTCTTTTCCAACAATATATTATATATCATTGCAGCATTACCCATAATCCCCTCTGTTTCAGCCCTGTTTCCAAAGTGCTGATTCTCTGTCTGTTACTTTAGATGAAGATAAGGAGCCCCTCCCCACGCCCCTCTGAGAGACATTTGGTTACAAAGAACTCAATGGAGCTCTAGGAGGAGATTCAGGTGATAAGGGGGGGGGGGGTTACCTTGGTTGTACATGTATTATCTTCACTATAGGATCACACTGTGTGTAAACTCACAGCCTGAACGGAGTTACAGTCTCTTCTCGTCTCCAGGTATCTCAGCGCTCGTTTCTCTTCTTCTCTCAACTTCGAATCAGCCTGAAAACACAAACAATCACTTATTACATTCACACTCTTTAAAGTAGAGACACTACATACTGATATACACCTGAACATCAGCAGGAGAGGACTCTTTAAAGTAGAGACACTACATAATGATATACACCTGAACATCAGCAGGAGAGGACTCTTTAAAGTAGAGACACTACATACTGATATACACCTGAACATCAGCAGGAGAGGACTCTTTAAAGTAGAGACACTACATAATGATATACACCTGAACATCAGCAGGAGAGGACTCTTTAAAGTAGAGACACTACATACTGATATACACCTGAACATCAGCAGGAGAGAACTCTTTAAAGTAGAGACACTACATAATGATATACACCTGAACATCAGCAGGAGAGGACTCTTTAAAGTAGAGACACTACATACTGATATACATCTGAACATCAGCAGGAGAGGACTCTTTAAAGTAGAGACACTACATACTGATATACACCTGAACATCAGCAGGAGAGCACTCTTTAAAGTAGAGACACTACATACTGATATACACCTGAACATCAGCAGGAGAGGACTCTTTAAAGTAGAGACACTACATACTGATATACACCTGAACATCAGCAGGAGAGGACTCTTTAAAGTAGAGACACTACATACTGATATACACCTGAACATCAGCAGGAGAGGACTCTTTAAAGTAGAGACACTACATAATGATATACACCTGAACATCAGCAGGAGAGGACTCTTTAAAGTAGAGACACTACATACTGATATACACCTGAACATCAGCAGGAGAGGACTCTTTAAAGTAGAGACACTACATACTGATATACACCTGAACATCAGCAGGAGAGAACTCTTTAAAGTAGAGACACTACATACTGATATACACCTGAACATCAGCAGGAGAGGACTCTTTAAAGTAGAGACACTACATAATGATATACACCTGAACATCAGCAGGAGAGGACTCTTTAAAGTAGAGACACTACATACTGATATACACCTGAACATCAGCAGGAGAGCACTCTTTAAAGTAGAGACACTACATACTGATATACACCTGAACATCAGCAGGAGAGGACTCTTTAAAGTAGAGACACTACATACTGATATACACCTGAACATCAGCAGGAGAGGACTCTTTAAAGTAGAGACACTACATACTGATATACACCTGAACATCAGCAGGAGAGGACTCTTTAAAGTAGAGACACTACATACTGATATACACATGAACATCAGCAGGAGAGGACTCTTTAAAGTAGAGACACTACATACTAATATACACCTGAACATCAGCAGGAGAGGACTCTTTAAAGTAGAGACACTACATACTGATATACACCTGAACATCAGCAGGAGAGGACTCTTTAAAGTAGAGACACTACATACTGATATCCACCTGAACACCAGCAGGAGAGGACTCTTTAAAGTAGAGACACTACATACTGATATACACCTGAACATCAGCAGGAGAGGACTCTTTAAAGTAGAGACACTACATACGGATATACACCTGAACATCAGCAGGAGAGCACTCTTTAAAGTAGAGACACTCCATACGGATGTGTCCTCTTTAAATGTATATTTTCCTTGTATCTTGTCTTAATATGTGTCCTTGTTGATGTTGGAAATGGAGCTCAGTATCGTCGTGGGAACATAAATAACTTCACTATCTGAATAACATGTATTAAAGTTTGACCTGTTTTCTCATCAGATCCCTTTCGGCCTCACGCTGCTTTAACACCCACCAGGCTTCAGATATGTTTTATTAAGAGGGATAACGTGAAGCGGACCTGTTTGGATTCATTTCCAACACCTTCACAACAGAGGAGAGGAGCCTCCAGTTTCTGTGAAAGTTGTTTTTCTGTCAGAGTGAGCAGAGAGCATGCTGGGAGCAGAGCGATTACAACACTTTTTAAACCGGGAGCAGAAAGGGCTGCTGTCTCACCATTTTAACCTTTTAATTTGGGCTGGGAAACATATATTACTATTTAATCACCAATGATATGAGACTAGATATCCTCTTAGATTGTGGATATTTTAATATAAGTGTTGCTGGTTTGAAAGGCTGCATTAAAGTATAGTGACGTTGTTGTTTTTTTTAATGTACCTTGCTGTGAAGCTTTTTCTATTATTTACCTTAACCCAGTTTGTCATTATATCCACATTACTGATCGTTATTTATCAAAATTCTGAAAGCATCAAGTATTTGGTTAAAATGATAGTAATATTGGATTTTTTAAATTATTCCAACAGTAGATAAATATCATAAATGTGTATTTTTATGTCTTTAATATTAAATACAAAAAATAATAATAATTTTAATAAATAATAAAAAATATTATGAAAACGATTTAAACATTTTCTTGGATAATAAAAAGTTAATTAAATAATAACAAATACATTTAAAATAAATTAAATAATAATGAAAATTCAGAACAAAATACAACTATAATAATAATTATAAAAAACAATGAAAAAGAATTCTAGGAATGGACCACCATATTTGAACGCAGTATCCACTTCTACTTTTAGGCCTCTCAAAAGTATTTCTCAGTAGCGTTAAATAGTCACGACAAAACAAAGCAAACGTAAAGAAAAATCTTAAGACAAGAAGAGTAGAAGGAAATAAAACAATATTGTTTGTTGGTCATGCCAGTACAACAAAGGCATTGCATTTGTTTTAACCTTGGATTTCCTTGGCCCCATGCAAGATGCTGTTTGGGGGCCCTATGCAAGATGCTGTTTGGGGGTGTGACGAAGGTAACTTCGTCACTATGGACTGACTGCTTCAGGCCGGGTAATTGTGTGCACCTGGTGTCCTGTGTTGTCTCCTCCCCCCCTCACCTGTGTCTTGTTGTGCTGATTAGTGTGTGTATTTAGGCTCTGTTTCCCTGTCTGTTGGGAGGCTGGCAGGGAGTGTGTGTGTGTGAGATCCTGGTGGCTGCAGGCTGGGCTCACGTGAACAGCAGCAGCAGGATTGAGGCTGGTGGCTGTGTGCACAGTGTAAAGGAATATTTTAGTCTGATGCTTAGCTGACCTGAGAAACTTCACATGAGTGACTACTCTTTCTCTGTGTGGGGGAAGGGTTTACTGCCCGCTCAGACAGAGTTTCTTTGTCTGTTCATCTGTAATCGATTGGGGAAAAGGCCCGCGTTTCTGGGCTCCGCCCCTTCTCAGAGACCAGGTTCGAGCGCTTCCGTCTTTGTGTGGGGAGAGTTAATATTGGCAGCTTGCATTGAACAGTGCAAGTTGCTTTGTTAATCCTCCGGCCGTTTTGTCTCAATAAATATCAGTGTATTGACTAAGGCAAACCCCAGTTTCCCTCATTTCATGATTGGCTCAACATTGCTGCAAAGAAGTTTTTACTTCAAACACAGGAACAGCAAGATTGAGGCTGTGTCCTGTGCTCAAGTTTTAATAAATGCCCACACCGGGTTATATTTGTGGACGTTCTGCCTCTGCCTCCTTGCTTGGTCTGGGCCGCTCAACGGTCAGCTTCACAATTGGTGTCAGAAGTGGGATTTGACCAAGTAAGGAAGTGAAAATTATGAGAGGAAAGAAGAGGGACCAAAGAGAGGAACCGCGGCTGGGGGTGGCTATGCCTAGAACGGACCAGGGGGCCACGGCTGTTGAGGCAGCAGGAGACGAGAGACAAGCAGGTGGAGCAGCTGGAGAAGGAGAAGAGGGAACTCCAGGAGCGCCTGAAGAACCAGGAGAAAAAGATTGACTACTTTGAGAGGGCTGAACGCATTGAACATGAGCAGCGAGAGGAGGAGGATCGGGAGTACCAGGAGCGTCTGCGCAAACTCGAGGAGCAGGAACGAAAGCAGCGCGCTCGTCAACAGGAGATCGAGGAGCGGGAACGCCGTCGTGACGAAGAGAAACGGGTCCCAGCCGAGGAGAAACCCAAGGATTGGAGCGAAAAGGAGGTTGCAAAAGACACTGTGCTTCCTGGGGAGAGGGGGAAGGAAATGTGACGAAGGTAACTTCGTCACTATGGACTGACTGCTTCAGGCCAGGTAATTGTGTGCACCTGGTGTCCTGTGTTGTCTCCTCCCCCCCTCACCTGTGTCTTGTTGTGCTGATTAGTGTGTGTATTTAGGCTCTGTTTCCCTGTCTGTTGGGAGGCTGGCAGGGAGTGTGTGTGTGAGATCCTGGTGGCTGCAGGCTGGGCTCACGTGAACAGCAGCAGCAGGATTGAGGCTGGTGGCTGTGTGCACAGGAACAGCAAGATTGAGGCTGTGTCCTGTGCTCAAGTTTTAATAAATGCCCACACCGGGTTATATTTTTGGACGTTCTGCCTCTGCCTCCTTGCTTGGTCTGGGCCGCTCAACGGTCAGCTTCACAGGGGGCCCCATGCAAGATGCTGTTTGGGGGCCCTAGTTTTTACAGTTTTTTAACTACAATGGGGGGATCCTGAAGCCTTTAAGATGATCTGTGGAGACGCATCAATCTGTTACACTTTAAGAGGAAAACAGGTTAATTTCACGAAAACCAAGCAATTGAAACTTACCAAAAATGATATTAAAAAGCCAAACAAAAGGCTCCTCTACCAATAAATGCAAGAGATGCAGCATTTTCTCAACAATGTATAATTTACATTTTTCATCTTCCTCAGACGTCACTGATTGGCTGAGAGCCCAGCGATGATTTGGACGTTATTGATCCCCACAAACACAAGCCTCAGCTTTCATATCAATGCAGTTTAGTTGTGTTTATATCCTACATTTGATTGTTAAGCATATAATGCTTCACCGAACACAGGAGGGGGCTGTCTACAAATAAATACGGCTCATTTGAATTCTCCCCAAATAGATTGAGGCTGAACCTGAACTTTCAGCTTGGGGGCCCCCTAGTGGCCGCGGGCGCCCTATGCATCCGCACAGTCCGCCTATAGGAAGAAACGGCCCTGCGTCTTCATGTACCTGAAGAACAAACTCATCACGAGTCCAAAACAGTTTGAGAAACCCACTCACATATTTCATGTAGTTCTGGACCCCGTTCTGCTGCAGGTAAGCCGGAGCCTGAGTTCTGTAGAAACGCTCGGTCGAGTCCATGTACGCTTTCTCAAAGTTATCTCTGTAGATCTGAAGCTTATCCTCTGGGTTCGAGCACAGGTTCACTGAGGAGAGAGGGAAGAGGAAAATTATTAAATATGGTTCAATAAAAAAATTAATAATAATAATAAAATAAATGTATATTAAAATAAATAATGATAATAAGAAAATAAGAAACATTTATATTAAAATAAATATTAAATAAAAAAATAATGAGAATTTTTCTTTTTTTATATTAAATGAAAAATAATCATTAATAATAATAAAAACAAAAATGTATATTAAAATAAATAAAATAAGAAACATTTATATTGAAATAAATCGCAAAAATAAGAAAAAATGTTTTGAATAAAATAATAAAAATAAAATAATGGAAAAGATTATATAATAATAAATAATTAAACAAATTTAAAATAATGAATAAAAGAATAATGAAAAAATATTTATATATAAATAATAAGAGAATAAGAAATTATTATTATTATAAAAAATAAATAAATAAAAAGGAATAATTAATAAATGCATCGTATATGCTAAAAATCTATACTAAAAGTGGTACAAAGAATCCATGTTGAACCTTTTGGACTGCAGGTTTTCTGACAGTAATGTGACCTGTGCAGCTCTGTGTCGTGTCTGCGTTTCTCACCGTACGACTCCCTCACTCCGATCACCAGCTGAGAGTCGAAGGCCTCTCCGAGCCGCTCGGCGTGAACCAGCTTCATGGCGCTGTCCTGTAACCGGCTCTTAATGTTGGAGAAGATCGACTCGTTCCACGTGTCCAGCATCAGCTGCAGAAACACAGAGAGGCAGGTCAATAACTCAGAAAGAAACACAACAAGAAACTCAGAATTCAAAATGCAGCTGAGGCGACAGACAGCGGATCTTATTTGGTAGCAATTCATTTACCAATAATATCGTTTGTGCTTTACTTATTGAAACGATCAAAAAGTACAAAGAACAATGGCTTTAAGCTATCTAGACTTGCTGCTTTTCTGGTTAACCAATCCCTCCTCCACCTGTCTCCAATAAACACAGAATCACCTGCTGCCCAAAGCTGCGCTCAAAATGAAAGCACTTAATAATAACAGTAAATATTCAAATGTACATAATTGTTCCTAGCTTTCAAACTTCTTCCATGAAATTCAATTTGAAAACTCAACATTGGAAAAGCTAACATTGTGTTTAAAGCCAGTGTTTCTCGTTGCAGATAAAGAACAGACTGTTTCTGTGTTTCTCCAATCACTCCAGAGCTTTGTAAATAACTTTTTTTTAAAAACAAGATAGACAACTCCTCAGTCTGACCCCTCTTTCAAAACACATCTCTCCACCCTGATCACATGACACACCCTCTGTTCTTATTGATTATATTGTCTTGTTGTTTCTGTATCTTGAAAGGCGCCTATATAAATACCATTTATTATATAATTATTTTGATGATTTGACACTTGATTATCTAGCTAAATATTCCTCTTAAATACATGTTTGCTGGTGTTAAGCCTTTCAAAAACATCCCTTTCACTTCCGTCAAAGAACACGTATTAGCCTTCTTCTTGCTGCACTCAAAGGGGAACACAGCAGCTGTTTTAACGTGGAGGTCTAGCAGCAATTTAACAGTACCTTAAATTACACTTTTAAGACTTTTTTGGGGGGTTGATGACAGAAAAATGTGATGACAGCTTCTTTCAAAGACCTCAACAGAAGATTGAAATGTATTTGATTATATATGTTGCATTGTTGGAGGAGCTTGGTCAGAAGAATGTCATTGCCATTTCTACACTAGCTTTGTGCATGTGACGATAAAACCTTTGAATCTTGAATCTTGAAAATGTAGAAGTGACAGGGCTCTAATTGTCCGTTCGCAAACACTGGCCTAGTCGGTTGGGTTACGCTCCAAAACTTTATTTATAACAGCAACAACAACAAAAATAGTGAACCAGCACAACTTAGACAACAAAATAAAAATCCCAAAACAGGCCGTCCATCACTCATCAGAGTAAACATGCTCTGGGTTGCCTTCTCTGCAACCAACTCCCAAACATGTCCCAGCTGTTGCCTTCGTTGCAACATTCTTCCGAGACCACTTCCAGGGCCAAACCCCGTCCCTTTTTAACCTATAGCCCCTCCCACCAGGCTTACCCGTCAACAGGTCACTTAAACTCCAAACCACATTTCAACATAAAAATCCGACCCAAACATAAACAGGTTAACCACCTCTTAACACAATCATTCCCCATAATTAACAAACGCACAATAAATAATAAATTGCATGGTTCCTTTTTAGGAAGAGAGCAGGAAATGTTTGGAGTGTGTGTGGTGTGTGTGTCGGCTGTCAGTGGCAGAGTCAGTCACTGATGACACAAAACATATGATGACAGCTTCTTTCAAAGACCTCAACAGAAGCTTCTAATGCACGACATGCTGGTTCCTCGTCACCTTTCTGACGATGCTGTCCTCCACGTTGGACTTCTTGTTGCTGCCCTGCTTCCCCATCAGAGTGATCTCCAGCTGGCAGAAGGGCTTGGGGAGGATGTCGCACTGAGTGAAGAACTTCCTCCACTCCACGATGTACGCTTTCAGCAGCGCCGTGTCGTCCTGGTGACTCAGCACCCGCTGGGAACACGGGAATAAAATCAACACTTTGATGAGGATACGAGAAACGAAGATTATAACGGAGAGGATGAGAAGTCAGACAAGCAGTGGTTACACGTTAGAGGACATGGTTTCAGAATGAAGTCAGTGTATAATAATAATGATGAAAAAGAAATGATATGATAAATCATAATAATAATAGAAATAATTATAAAAATATTAACAAAGAGAAATAATAAATATATAGTAATATTTCAGGATAAAATAAAAATATTATGGAAAAATAATGAAATAATTAAAATATAAAAATAAATAAATCACATAATAGGAAATAATTCAACAGGAAATAAAAAAATTAAAGATGTAATTATTAAATAATAATATCAAATAAACAAATAATAATAAAAAAATGTTTAACATTATCAAAGGTAATAATAATAATAATAATTAAAATACAATGATAATAAATAATAATGAAAATAATGAAAATCTGTAAATAATAATGTTAAATAATAAAACAAAAGAAAATAAACTAAAAAAATATATAAAAAAACATTATCTAAGATAATAATAATAAATAAAAAAATTAAATTCTAAAATAAATAATAATAACAATAAATATGAAAAACACAATGAAAAATGTTCTTAGGTAGGAATGGGCCTTGCGCTATAACTTGTGTATAACTCGTCTTACTGCTTGTGCTTGTTTGATAAATTCTAGGATGTCCTCTTTGAGCGCCTGGTGGATCTTAGCGGGACCTTTGTCGTCCCAAAGACACACAGCATGGACGTCTCTGTGGACACAAGAGGACACACAATGTTAGAGGAATCACCTGTCTTTTTAACAAATGTACCTTTTTACATATAACTCATATATGCCTGAACCCGGCACTGATATACTCTAAATCTGCACCTCATGGAAATAACTTTATTCATATTGATACATCATTGATCTGATATGTGAATATATTAAAAACCTCTTTACTACTCTTTGCACTCTCTGGTTGGATGCAAACTGCATTTTGTTGTACTCTGTGTGCAATGACAATAGAGTTGAATCTAATATAATCTAATATGCTTTATTGGAAGCAGATGTGTGATGGTTAGGGATGGTAAAATAACACACATCCTTTACTCAAGTAGAAGTACAGATACTCGTGTTTCAAAATACTCTGGTGAAAGTAGAAGTACTGACTAAACTTCTTTCCTCGAGTCAAAGTAAAGAGGCTTTGAAATGTACTTCAGTAAAAAGTACCCATAACTAGCAGCTGCTTTAAAGAGTACCTGACCTCCCTTTATATTAATAGAACAATAATGTCATTGTTAGCTAATGAATGTTTCCATGCTGAACAACGGCAACATGACAACGTTTCCATTGGTCCCTCTTCTTTAGAGAAGACCAGGAAATGATGGATACACGGATCGTGTTCAAATCAATAGGCACGCAATGACTCTAAAGAATAATGATCACGCATCAAACACACATTCAGACTAAAGGAACCAGCTGTTTGGAAAATGAGAGAAGTAGAAAGTACAGGTATTTGAGTTCAACATGTAAGAAGTAGAAAGTACAGGTATTTGAGTTCAACATGTAAGAAGTAGAAAGTACAGGTATTTGTGTTCAACATGTAAGAAGTAGAAAGTACAGGTATTTGTGTTCAACATGTAAGAAGTAGAAAGTACAGGTATTTGTGTTCAACATGTGAGAAGTAGAAAGTACAGGTATTTGAGTTCAACATGTTAGAAGTAGAAAGTACAGGTATTTGTGTTCAACATGTAAGAAGTAGAAAGTACAGGTATTTGAGTTCAAACATGTAAGAAGTAGAAAGTACAGGTATTTGAGTTCAACATGTAAGAAGTAGAAAGTACAGGTATTTGAGTTCAACATGTAAGAAGTAGAAAGTACAGGTATTTGTGTTCAACATGTAAGAAGTAGAAAGTACAGGTATTTGAGTTCAACATGTTAGAAGTAGAAAGTACAGGTATTTGTGTTCAACATGTAAGAAGTAGAAAGTACAGGTATTTGAGTTCAACATGTAAGAAGTAGAAAGTACAGGTATTTGTGTTCAACATGTAAGAAGTAGAAAGTACAGGTATTTGAGTTCAACATGTAAGAAGTAGAAAGTACAGGTATTTGAGTTCAACATGTAAGAAGTAGAAAGTACAGGTATTTGTGTTCAACATGTAAGAAGTAGAAAGTACAGGTATTTGTGTTCAACATGTAAGAAGTAGAAAGTACAGGTATTTGTGTTCAACATGTGAGAAGTAGAAAGTACAGGTATTTGTGTTCAACATGTAAGAAGTAGAAAGTACAGGTATTTGAGTTCAACATGTAAGAAGTAGAAAGTACAGGTATTTGTGTTCAACATGTAAGAAGTAGAAAGTACAGGTATTTGTGTTCAACATGTGAGAAGTAGAAAGTACAGGTATTTGAGTTCAACATGTAAGAAGTAGAAAGTACAGGTATTTGGGTTCAACATGTAAGAAGTAGAAAGTACAGGTATTTGTGTTCAACATGTAAGAAGTAGAAAGTACAGGTATTTGGGTTCAACATGTAAGAAGTAGAAAGTACAGGTATTTGTGTTCAACATGTAAGAAGTAGAAAGTACAGGTATTTGTGTTCAACATGTAAGAAGTAGAAAGTACAGGTATTTGGGTTCAACATGTAAGAAGTAGAAAGTACAGGTATTTGGGTTCAACATGTAAGAAGTAGAAAGTACAGGTATTTGAGTTCAACATGTAAGAAGTAGAAAGTACAGGTATTTGAGTTCAACATGTAAGAAGTAGAAAGTACAGGTATTTGAGTTCAACATGTGAGAAGTAGAAAGTACAGGTATTTGAGTTCAACATGTAAGAAGTAGAAAGTACAGGTATTTGAGTTCAACATGTAAGAAGTAGAAAGTACAGGTATTTGTGTTCAACATGTAAGAAGTAGAAAGTACAGGTATTTGTGTTCAACATGTAAGAAGTAGAAAGTACAGGTATTTGTGTTCAACATGTAAGAAGTAGGAAGTACAGGTATTTGGGTTCAACATGTAAGAAGTAGAAAGTAGAAGCAAAGCCCCGGGGGTGGATGAGATCCGCCCGGAAATGCTGAAGGCTCTGGGTGTTGAGGGACTGCCATGGTTGACACGTCTCATCAACGTTGCGTGGAAGTCGGAAACAGTACCGAAGGAGTGGCAGACCGGGGTGGTGGTCCCCCTTTTTAAAAAGGGGGATCAGAGGGTGTGTGCCAATTACAGAGGCATCACACTACTCAGCCTCCCTGGGAAAGTTTACTCTAAGGTACTCGAAAGGAGGGTCAGGCCGATTGTCGAACCTCAGATTGAGGAGGAACAATGCGGATTCCGTCCTGGTCGTGGAACGACGGATCAGCTTCTTACTCTCGCAAGGATCCTGGAGGGGGCCTGGGAGTACGCTTATCCGGTCTACATGTGTTTTGTAGACTTGGAGAAGGCGTATGACCGAGTTCCCAGGGAGTTACTGTGGGAGGTGCTGCGGGAGTATGGGGTGAGGGGGTCTCTACTCAGGGCCATCCAATCTCTGTACTCCCAAAGCGAGAGCTGTGTCCGGGTCCTCGGCAGTAAGTCGGACCCATTTCCGGTGAGGGTTGGCCTCCGCCAGGGCTGCGCTTTGTCACCAATCCTGTTTGTAATATACAGTGGGGCAAAAAAGTATTTAGTCAGCCACCAATTGTGCAAGTTCTCCCACTGAAAAAGATGAGAGAGGCCTGTAATTTTCATCCTAGGCATACCTCAACTATGAGAGACAAAATCAGAAAAAAAAAAATCAGAAAATCACATTGTCTGATTTTTAAAGAATTTATTTGCAAATTATGGTGGAAAATAAGTATTTGGTCAATAACAAAAGTTCATCTCAATACTTTGCTATATACCCTTTGTTGGGAATGACAGAGGTCAAACGTTTTCTGTAAGTCTTCACAAGGTTTTCACACACTGTTGCTGGTATGTTGGCCCATTCCTCCATGCAGATCTCCTCTAGAGCAGTGATGTTTTGGGGCTGTTGCTGGGCAACACGGACTTTCAACTCCCTCCAAAGATTTTCTATGGGGTTGAGATCTGGAGACTGGCTAGGCCACGAAGCATTTCAAGGTCCTGGAGTGGCCACTCCTTCGTTGCCCGGGTGGTGTGTTTGGGATCATTGTCATGCTGAAAGACCCAGCCACGTTTCATCTTCAATGCCCTTGCTGATGGAAGGAGGTTGTCACTCAAAATCTCACGATACATGGCCCCATTCATTCTTTCCTTTACACAGATCAGTCGTCCTGGGTCCCTTTGCAGAAACACAGCCCCAAAGCATGATGTTTCCACCCCCATGTTTCACAGTAGGTGTTCTTTGGATGCAACTCAGCATTCTTTCTCCTCCAAACACGTCTAGTTGAGTTTTTACCAAAACGTTTTATTTTGGTTTCATCTGACCATATGACATTCTCCCAATCCTCTTCTGGATCATCTAAATGCTCTCTAGCAAACTTCAGACGGGCCTGGACATGTACTGGCTTAAGCAGGGGGACACGTCTGGCACTGCAGGATTTGAGTCCCTGGCGGCGTAGTGTGTTACTGATGGTAGCCTTTGTTACTTTGGTCCCAGCTCTCTGCAGGTCATTGACTAGGTCCCCCCGTGTGGTTCTGGGATTTTGCTCACCGTTCTTGTGAACATTTTGACCCCACGGGGTGAGATCTTGCGTGGAGCCCCAGATCGAGGGAGATTATCAGTGGTTTGTATGTCTTCCATTTTCTAATAATTGCTCCCACAGTTGATTTCTTCACACCAAGCTGCTTACCTATTGCAGATTCAGTCTTCCCAGCCTGGTGCAGGTCTACAATTGTGTTTCTGGTGTTTCTGCTCTTTGGTCTTGGCCATAGTGGAGTTCGGAGTGTGACTGTTTGAAGGTGTGGACAGGTGTCTTTTATACTGATAACGAGTTCAAACAAGTGACATTAATACAGTTAACGAGTGGAGGACAGAGGAGGCTCTTGAAGAAGAAGTTACAGGTCTGTGAGAGCCAGAAATCTTGTTTGTTTGTAGGTGACCAAATACTTATTTTACCGAGGAATTTACCAATGAATTCATTAAAAATCAGACAATGTGATTTCCTGGATTCTTTCCCCCCATTCTGTCTCTCATAGTTGAAGTGTACCTAGGATGAAAATTACAGGCCTCTCTCATCTTTTTGAGTGGGAGAACTTGCACAATTGGTGGCTGACTAAATACTTTTTTGCCCCACTGTACATGGATCGGATTTCGAGGCGTAGTCATGGGGGAGGGGGTCTGCAGGTCGGTGGACTAAGGATTGCACCACTGCTTTTTGCAGATGATGTGGTTCTAATGGCTTCATCGGTCTGCGACCTTCAGCACTCACTGGATCGGTTCGCAACCGAGTGTGAAGCGGCTGGGATGAGGATCAGCACCTCCAAATCTGAGGCCACGGTTCTCAGCAGGAAACCGATGGACTGTCCACTTCAAGTAGGGAATGAGTCCTTACCCCAAGTGAAGGAGTTCAAGTATCTCGGGGTCTTGTTCTCGAGTGAGAGAACAATGGAGCGTGAGATGGGCCGGAGAATCGGAGCAGCGGGAGCGGTACTGCAGTCGCTTTACCGCACCGTTGTGACGAAAAGGGAGCTGAGCCAGAAGGCAAAGCTCTCTGTCTACCGGGTCATTTTCGTTCCTACCCTCACCTATGGTCATGAAGGATGGGTCATGACCGAAAGAACGAGATCGCGGATACAAGCGGCCGAGATGGGTTTTCTCCGCAGGGTGGCTGGGATAAGGTGAGAAGTTCGGTCATCAGGGAGGGACTCGGAGTTGAGCCGCTCCTCCTTCGCGTCGAAAGGAGCCAGTTGAGGTGGTTCGGGCACCTAGTAAGGATGCCACCTGGGCGCCTCCCTAGGCAGGTGTTCCAGGCACGTCCAGCTGGGAAGAGACCAAGGGGTAGACCTAGGACCAGGTGGAGGGATTATATCTCTTCGCTGGCCTGGGAGCGCCTTGGGATCTCCCAGTCAGAGCTGGTTGATGTCGCCAGGGAAAAGAAAGTTTGGGGCTCTCTGCTGGAACAAGACCCCCGAGACCCGACCACGGATAAGCGGGAGAAGATGGATGGATGGATGTAAGAAGTAGAAAGTTCAGGTATTTGTGTTCAAAATGTAAGAAGTCAAAGTAAAAAGTTGTCAGAAAAACAAGTAGTGGAGTAAAGTACTGATACCAAAAACATGTACTTAAGTACATTAACAAAGTATTTGTACTCCACTACTTCCCACCTCTGTGTGATAGAGTAAACTCACGAGAATAGGTCGAACCACTGCTGCTTGGTGACACTCTCCTGCCGAAGCAGCTTCAGCACGATCGGACGCATCAGCTCCCATTTGTCCTCAAATTGAAGGGAGCCTTTGTTCTGCAAACAGAGAGAGAGGAGATGATTCAAACTGTTCATCAGCAGGAGAGGACTCTTTAAAGTAGAGACACTACATACTGATACACACCTGAACATCAGCAGGAGAGGACTCTTTAAAGTAGAGACACTACATACTGATATACACCTGAACATCAGCAGGAGAGGACTCTTTAAAGTAGAGACACTACATACTGATATACACCTGAACATCAGCAGGAGAGGACTCTTTAAAAGTAGAGACACTACAGTACTTATATACACCTGACATCAGCAGGAGAGGACTCTTTAAAGTAGAGACTCTACATACTGATATACACCTGAACATCAGCAGAGAGGACTCTTTAAAGTAGAGACTCTACATACTTATATACACCTGAACATCAGCAGGAGAGGACTCTTTAAAGTAGAGACTCTACATACTGATATACACCTGAACATCAGCAGGAGAGGACTCTTTAAAGTAGAGACTCTACATACTTATATACACCTGAACATCAGCAGGAGAGGACTCTTTAAAGTAGAGACTCTACATACTGATATACACCTGAACATCAGCAGGAGATAACTCTTTAAAGTAGAGACACTACATACTGATATACACCTGAACATCAGCAGGAGAGGACTCTTTAAAGTAGAGACACTACATACTGATATACACCTGAACATCAGCAGGAGAGGACTCTTTAAAGTAGAGACTCTACATACTGATATACACCTGAACATCAACAGGAGAGGACTCTTTAAAGTAGAGACACTACATACTGATATACACCTGAACATCAGCAGGAGAGGACTCTTTAAAGTAGAGACTCTACATACTGATATACACCTGAACATCAACAGGAGAGGACTCTTTAAAGTAGAGACACTACATACTGATATACACCTGAACATCAGCAGGAGAGGACTCTTTAAAGTAGAGACTCTACATACTGATATACACCTGAACATCAGCAGGAGAGGACTCTTTAAAGTAGAGACACTACATACTGATATACACCTGAACATCAGCAGGAGAGGACTCTTTAAAGTAGAGACACTACATACTGATATACACCTGAACATCAGCAGGTGAGGACTCTTTAAAGTAGAGACACTACATACTGATATACACCTGAACATCAGCAGGAGAGGACTCTTTAAAGTAGAGACACTACATACTGATATACACCTGAACATCAACAGGAGAGGACTCTTTAAAGTAGAGACAACTACATACTGATATACACCTGAACATCAGCAGGAGAGGACTCTTTAAAGTAGAGACACTACATACTGATATACAACCTGAAACATCAACAGGAGAGGACTCTTTAAAGTAGAGACAACTACATACTGATATACACCTGAACATCAGCAGGAGAGGACTCTTTAAAGTAGAGACACTACATACTGATATACACCTGAACATCAGCAGGAGAGGACTCTTTAAAGTAGAGACACTACATACTGATATACACCTGAACATCAGCAGGAGAGGACTCTTTAAAAGTAGAGACACTACATACTGATATACAACCTGAACATCAGCAGGAGAGGAACTCTTTAAAGTAGAGACACTACATACTGATATACACCTGAACATCAGCAGGAGAGGACTCTTTAAAGTAGAGACACTACATACTGATATACACCTGAACATCAGCAGGAGAGGACTCTTTAAAGTAGATACACTACATACTGATATACACCTGAACATCAGCAGGAGAGGGACTCTTTAAAGTAGAGACACTACATACTGAATATACACCTGAACATCAGCAGGAGAGGACTCTTTAAAGTAGAGACACTACACACTGATATACACCTGAACATCAGCAGGAGAGGACTCTTTAAAGTAGAGACACTACATACTGATATACACCTGAACATCAGCAGGAGAGAACTCTTTAAAAGTAGAGACACTACATACTGATATACACCTGAACATCAGCAGGAGAGGACTCTTTAAAGTAGAGACACTACATACTGATATACACCTGAACATCAGCAGGAGAGGACTCTTTAAAGTAGAGACACTACATACTGATATACACCTGAACACCAGCAGGAGAGGACTCTTTAAAGTAGAGACACTACACACTGATATACACCTGAACATCAGCAGGAGAGGACTCTTTAAAGTAGAGACACTACATACTGATATACACCTGAACATCAGCAGGAGAGGACTCTTTAAAGTAGAGACACTACATACTGATATACACCTGAACATCAACAGGAGAGGACTCTTAAAGTAGAAACACTACATACTGATATACACCTGAACATCAGCAGGAGAGGACTCTTTAAAGTAGAGACCTACATACTGATATACACCTGAACATCAGCAGGAGAGGACTCTTTAAAGTAGAGACACTACATACTGATATACACCTGAACATCAGCAGGAGAGGACTCTTTAAAGTAGAGACACTACATACTGATATACACCTGAACATCAACAGGAGAGGACTCTTTAAAGTAGAAACACTACATACTGATATACACCTGAACATCAGCAGGAGAGGACTCTTTAAAGTAGAGACACTACACACTGATATACACCTGAACATCAGCAGGAGAGGACTCTTTAATATCCTCTCCGCTCTGGGACAATAAAGTGAATCTGAAGCCGAGAAAGAGACAGTAACTAAAGCACGAGAACATGGCCTGTTTGCTCACACTGTACATAAAGATAATATGTTTCCATGCAAAGTCTTGTGTTTTGACTGTAAAGCCATTTTCTCTAAACACAGCTCTGATAAGTGTCTCCAGCAGCAGCTGTGTCACCTCCCCTGTCCTTCTTTCTTGTCAACAAATGAATTATGATTGCATTAAAACACAGTATCTTATGTTCCTGTCAAGCTTTGTTAGGTAGATTACAGCTCATGATTAACTTTAACTCAATGCACTTAAACTGTAAGGCCGATGTATTTCTGCGGCTATTATCAGCGTGTATTTGAATCGTATAGTGCATTAACTACTGGCTTTATTTCTGTAGTGCATTCATCTCTGTGTCTAACTATCTGTAATCAAGGTTCATTGTATTGTCCCACATTGTAGGACTCTTGGGTTTGGTTTCCACACATGATGCATCGTTAAGAACGCCCAAACAAATCCCCAAAATTGCAGACAACGAAGTATAAACCCCTTGAAATAAACAAGCTACCTTTTGTTTTTATAAAAAGGAGGACAATAGAAAGCCTTCACTGTACACAACTAAATAAATAGAGCTTCTCCTGACCCTGCCCTTCAAACACACACTGCCAAAGTCTGCAGAAACACATCGTCCTTACACTTCATGTGCATTGAGTTAATCCTCAGCTGTTATCTACCTGACTTCATTAGCTTGACAGGAACATAAGGCAGTGTGTCTAAATGCAATCACAATTCATTTGTTGTCAAGAAAGAGGGGCTACTGCTGGAGTCAGACATTACAGAGAAAATACAAGACTTCGCATGGAGAAATATTATCTTAATGTACAGTACGTGAACACAGGGCATGCTTTAGTGCGTTAACTACTGTCTCTTTCTCTGCTAAAGATTCATTTTAATAAGGAGGCTGTATTTCTGCAGCCTTTAGCATTGTGTGTTTGAAGGGGAGGGTCTGAACTGAAGTGACAGATGATAAGAGATGTGTAGCTACCGTATGCACACATAATATTCATATTTAAACGCAGGTTAAGGTAAGAAAACGTCTCCAATCTCTGCCTGTTTCTCTCATATTCAGTTAGCTGTGATGTAGCTATTCTGTTTAGCTAAATCAGTGATAAGTAGCTCATGCTAATGCTAGCTAGATGTAAGTTAACTATCCCACATCAATTGTGTAGAATCGCTAATAGGTGCTGTGTGATGTGTGTTAAGTGTGGAGCTAAATGCCAACATTACACCATGTAAATGTCACACACTTTAGTGAGCGTTTTATAAGAAATAATGGAATTGAAGTGGCTCCTACCTTTAGCAAATGAGACGTCGCCATGTTCCCTTCAACTTATCGTCTCGTGAAATCTCGCGAGACCTACACGCAGCGTGAAGATTAACACTGGTGGACAGAGGTGGAAGAAGTTCCTCTTTACTTAAAAGTAGAAATACACAGTGGTGTAAATAACAAAGTAGATTTAAGTACTCACATATTGTACTTGAGTAAAAGTAGAAGTACTCAGATCTTGTACTTGGGTAAAAGTAGAAGTACTCAGATCTTGTACTTGGGTAAAAGTAGAAGTACTCAGATCTTATACTTGAGTAAAAGTAGAAGTACTCAGATCTTGGTGGAACTAAAGTCTGATTTAACACTTGATTATATTTCACATCATTAATCCAGATCTGTAAAGTAATCAAAGGTATTAATACATGTAGTGGAGTAGAAGCACAAAGTAAAAATACCTCAAAATTGTACTTCAGTACAGTACTTGAGTAAATGTACTAAGCCAGTTTACACCTCTGCATAGATACCAGTGAATCATATTTGAGTCAAGGACAGTTGTTGTTTCCTACAATCAGTTTGGTGTGTGTTATCAGTCTTTCTCTGTCTCCGCAATCATGGTCAAATACCTTCTCATACAAGGATTCTAACCTTCACTTTAGGAAGAAACAAGGGCAGTATGTGTTGCGATTGTATGTCAAACAAGAACAGTATGAAGGTTAAATATGGAAATGAACACATTTTTTAGATAAAGAAATACCATTTCTCCTTCTGACATGTAGTGCAGTAGAAGTTAAACATCTAATAACATGGATACACTTAAGATAAGTCCCTTTATATGTGTATTTCATACCGAATTTGAGTAATTTTGGTTTATTCTCATCAGCATCAGATCAAGTTTGACTGCACCGCGCCGACGTCACTTCACTGTTGTATTTCGACCAATCAGGACGCAGGAGGCGGGGCTTGTCAGCACGAAGTTTGGTTGACGTTCTCAAGTTGCCAAACGTGGATGAGAATTTGGTGCGATTTTTTTTAAAGGATGGACTTTTATCACCGTTTGAGTTTTTCTCCACACTTGTCATGACTGAAGAGGAAAAAGAAAACGTATGTTACGGTATGTACGCTTTCTTAAGATATAAATAATATTCAGGAAGCCCGATTTATGACGCTGTCGCTGACGTGTAAAACACACTAAACCAAACTCCTTTGATAAAAAGATGGTTTTAATTTAGCTTTGGGTGTTGCCAGTCATGTATACATGCTTTAACATCTTTTAAACGACGAGTCACATTATAATAAGCTACATTAACATTCGGCATACATATAATGTTATTAGTATGCCTTACTGTAGTTTAATATTCTCAAATGTGCTCAAATGTTCGCTTTTAGCTCTATATAATAAGACGCTGTCACTGAAGCTTAACCAAACTGCATTGAAAAAAGGGACAATTTAATTATGTTTTGTGTATTACAAGTCATTTAAACATATTTAAAACCACAATTCGCATTATAAGAACCTACATTATAATTTGGCATACATCTAATGATGGAACTTTAGCTTAATTTAGTTTAATAGTCCTAAAATGTGCTTATGTGCAATATCTTGTATTTGTTAATACAGTAAATCCTGCAAAATATGTTCTCCTCCACACTTCCTGTTTTAAATCTGCACAGCGCTGCACTTTGAATATAGTATTTGTCGCATTTTATTTTATTTACTGTACCCAGTTTCTTACGTATTTTAGTTTGTTGTAAATATTGTCTTTATTTTTAATTCATTAAGATAATATAACAGTTGAATGTTAAGTCGTTTATACCCGTTTAAACATATGTTAAACCTTAATTGGCATTATAACAAGCTCCATTAACATTCGGCATAATGGCGTAATTGTGGCTAATTGCAGTTCAACTTTCCCAAAATGTACATATCTGTTTGTTTTTAGCTCCATTGCCTCTAATGTATACCCAGTCTGTAAGTAATTTAACTTTAAGTGCAGTTCTGTAATCTCAATGATTATTAACCAGGCTAGAAACAAGGCAGAGTAGATTGTCATATTAAGAGACTTTTACGTCCTACCGACATATCTGTATTGTCTGTCCAAACAACTATATTTTCTATAGTATATTTATTCTGTATTATGCTGTGTTTATTTATACCTGATCTACTGTATAGTGTATTCAATTAGCTGTTAATACAGTTTAAACCTCTGTATAGTGTATATACACCAGTTTGTTTATCTATTTATATTATACTTGAGTAACTCTGCACTTCTGGTTAAGTGCAAACTGCATTTCATGGTCTCAGTCCTCTGAGACTTTGAATTTAATCTCATCTCAGGCACCATGCTTTCAGTTATTGTCATTTAATGAGCAAAAATTATTCTCTTCATCAGTCACATGATTCACATTTACATTCCTGTGGAGATTCTGCTGCTCGGATGGTCTGATGAAGACAGTAAGCTTTAAAGACACTAATTCTTAAAGGTTTTTCATCTTTGATTTTATTTTCCAGATCTAGCTCTCACAGATATGGAGGGGCATGAAGACGAGAGGCTGTGTGGGAAATGGAGGGTCGCCTGCGGTTTGTACAACTACAACCTGAGGGACGTGTTCACATGGTGAGTAATGTGGTGGGAATTTATTTATCAAATGTGGATAAAGAATCAAACCATTCAGCTGCAGAGCGAAAGACGAAGAGTAGAGTTTGGGTTGCATATTTGAAGGGAGGGCTTGAGCTTGGTGATAACAAAGGAGCATTCTGGAAGTTAGGGAGTTAGGGAGGCTATCAGGAAGTTCTAAGTTCAACAGAAGGTGAAGGTCATACTGTTGGTGCACATAGAGTAACTAACAACACTGCAACACATCTTCTTAATAAGGGCTTTTCCCAAGCTTAGCTAAGAAGTGTGAGAAGTAGTAAATATAGTTAAATATTAGAAAATAAGAATCACTATTATTAAAGCTCACCTATCATGCTATCTTTAGGCAATAGCATAGGTCTCAGATATCTACAAATATATAAAAAACATGTCTATGAAGTGTTTTACTCAACAGATCACCCATTCTAAGCCATGCCTCATATCCCTCTAATTTCACTTCCTGTTTCTAAAGTGCTGATTTGGGTATAA